TGTTCAAGTATCTGAAGGGTGATTATAGAGCAGATGAAGATGGGCTTTTGTCTGTGACTAACAGACAGGACTAGGAGTAACAGCTGCAAGTTGCAGCAGAGAAAATTTAGGTTGGGGATTAGGAAGAGATTCTTGATTGTGAGGGTGGTCAAGCACTGGACCTAGAGAAGCAGTGGAATCTCCATCCTTGGAAAACTTTCAAAAGCAGATTAGACAGAAGCTTGGCTGGGATGGTTTAATCAGGGATGAGCCTGCCTTGAGCAGGTAGCTGACCTTGTGAGATCATCTAGTCCAGTTTCCCTATGATCTTATAATGAGGTAGCCTCAGTCAAGTTCTTACTGGGTAGAAACCTGCAATGGATTTAGCAAAATAATAAAACAGCCCCATCCACACACTTTATTAGATGTTATTACTATGGGTGTTCTTGCATCCAAGAAGCAATGTATGCTGAACCTTTAGAACAAGCCAACTTCTAACTGTAAGAGGATTTTTGGGGGGTGACACTTCTTCCAAGTGTGGGAGATTTTGACTTTCCACTACAAGGTTTCCTGCATCTTTCTCTGAAGCAGCTGGTCATTGTCAGGCCACACACTGGACTAGTCTGATGCTTTGCAAGCTAGAAACAACAAAGATACTCGGGGATTATGCTACTTATAATAAGCACCTTGGACCCAAGTCGTCCCAGTGACCAGCCTAATTGCATAACAACCACTATTCCTCTCCTTCAAATGCTGTATAGCCTTGTAGGTGGAAACCTCACTTGCAGGGAGAAGATGCCAGGAAAACCAAACCCTAGACTTGTGAGATGGAGAAAAGAGGTAGTGCTGTGCTTCTGCTTCCTATGGGGGGCAATTGCAAACAGCTGTGTTTGCTGGAAGAAAACCTTAGTTTTCAAATCATGTTGGAGCTTGGCAACTTCTGGGGTGGCCAAGCTCCAGGGACCAAGGACCTCTTCTTCAGAGCCCCAAGGCAGCCAAATCTGAAATGTAAATACTACCTGCTGCTTTTTGTATCCAAGTTTCTCAGCTGTGTTAACCAAGTAACTTGCTTGGAGTACCACATGGAAGCTGTTAAAGCTGGGCATAGAACCCAGATGCCGTTTAATCGCTAGACATGCTTCCTCCTTTTTAGTGGGATGCTGAGAATTATGAAATAATGGCATCAGGTATGACGTGGGGGGGGAGGGGTGGAAAACACGAGTGGTGTGTGCACATGCACATCCTCCTTCCCCATCTGGGGGCTTGTGAAAACCTTACCCAATGTAGATTAGAAAGGTGGCTGCCTTGATAGCAAGTGACCTGTGAAAGGACAGCAATGAGACCCTCTAGTCTGGCCAAAACTGGGAAGACACCCAGCGCAGCTGTTTGCTACTGACCATATCTAGCCTGGTGTCTGCTGGGCTTCAGACTAGCATGGCTAACTACCTCCATCATGGAGCCAAACCCCCTGTAGCACTACGTGTCACTGTTCACATGTTTGAAACATGAACACTTTTGGGGATGGATCGGCCATTTTTGTAGCACTACAGCCAGCCTGAATGTGTAAGCTCTTGCTTTTTTATAACACTATACGTGTGCACATATGATTAATAAAGCACTGTGCATCCGAGACTTTACTTTTTCCACTTACCTCTCAAAATGAGGCTGCTTTTCCTTCCTTAGGTTCAATTTAAAAATTGATCACTCTTACCTTAACTGAAAAGAAAGTGTTCAAACCCAGAAGCACCACTTGTTTTGTAACATCTGACTCAGCTTCCCAGCACCATTGCTACTACAAGTGTACAGCTGGGTGAAAATTACCTACAGTGCATTCCTTCCCATCCCACCCCCTGAGAAACAAGACACTGCATTCTAATATGCTTTCAAAGGTCTGATGATGCCAAAAAATAGCTCTGCAATAACTTTTATTGTGTACATGCAGAACTGTCCCATGCACAAAACAAAAGCTACCAGGCTTGCACCCTGCTCATTGCAAAACTATGAAGGATGGCACCTACTGTTGCACATTCAACCAATATTATGTTAACTGAATAGCACGAAAAACTCTGTTCCTCCTATCTCTGAACTGAAATGACTCGGGAAGGTCAACACTGGCATCATAAGATTAAAAGACAAAAACATGCAATCACTGCTATGAAGCAGTCTTCACTCCTCAGCAAGTCACTGAGTAGCAGAACAACAGCTGCTTCAGTAACTTAGCAGTCGGTGCCTAACATTATGGTAACCATTCCCAGCCTCGTGCATTTGAGCATGAGGCCAGAAATTTCCCAACTGCTCTAGATCATCCTGCAGCAAGAAGTCCTTTCCTCTTGTCCCACCCTATTCACTGCTCATCACTTTAATTCTTTTCTGAACCCTCTTTCCTCCTCCCCTCTAGAGTATGGATGAAGTAGCAGTTGTGTCACATCTGTCCCATTTCATACTTTGTAGGAGGCAGCATCTGTATTCCTCCTTTACACTTGGCCCGTTTTATGGAAAAGGGATGGCACCTGGGGAAATTAAAAGGGCATCAATAGAGAATGCCTTACACATCACTGGCCCATGAATTGATAGTGGAAGGTCAGATCCCTCAATCATCTACTCACAGCTGCTTAGTGGAATACTTTCCTGCATTTGGTCCAGGGTATCTCCTAGGTGGGGCCTGTGGGGAAAAAAAAAAAATCAGCCTTCACAAATCCACGTTAACTACTTTCAGGCATCAGCAGCATCTGCAGTCAAGTGAGGCCTGAGTGCCCCAAACCTGGCTCCCCCTTGAATATCCAAGGAAATGGAGCATGGCAAAAGTAGGCAGAGAAAGCTGTAAGATACTCCTCTGCTGACCAAGGGAGGGAGGGATGGGAACAAGGAAGTAATGTCTCATTGCTCCCCACCACCACCGCCTACCTCAGTCTACAAGGCCTCCCTGACTTCCCATCGCTCCTTCCTGTACTTCTCCACTCAGTTAACCCCCGTTTGTGAAATCTGAAAAATCATGGCACTGACATGCTGCTCGCTACCATCCTGCTGTTCCCTCACTAATATCCCTTGGTCTAAAGTTTTCAGGACAGGCACCATCAACTGGTGTCTGCACCATACCTGGCACAACGGGGCTCTATTCTGTTGTTCACCAGGCACTACTAAAGAAAACACTTACAATTCAAAAAGTCTTCACCTTTCCTCCCTGCCAAAACATCAACTATTCCAATGTTTTTCCTGAAGAAAAACAAACTTCTCTCAGTTTTATGCTTCTTTAATTGAACCAATGCTACCTTCACACTAGCAGCTAAGCACAGCAGGACTGCAGTGAAAGAGATTATTTTAATATATTTTTAGGGTTAGAAGGGATGTCAGTAGATCATCTAGTCTGATGCCCTGCCCTGGGAAGGAAAGAGCGCTGGGGTCAGATGAACCCAGCCAGGTGCTTATCCAGTCCCCTCTTAAAGACCTCCAAGGTAGGGGAAAGCACCACATCCCTTGGAAGCCCATTCCAGATTCTGGTCATCCTTACTGTAAAGAAGTTCCTGATGTCTAATTTAAAATTGCTGTACGTCTGTCTGTGGCTGCTGTTTCTAGTTACTCTGTTTACCAGAGTGCCCCTTGCAGTATCTCCTCTTCCTTGCTCCCCCCCCAAAATGAGAAATTTATAGATGGCCACAAGTTCATCGCTCAGTCTTCTCTTGCGGAGGCTGACAAGGTCCAGGTCCCTCAATCTCTCCTCATAGGACCTGATCTGCAGGCCCTTAACCATATGTGTGGCCCTCCTCTGGACCCTCTCAGGGTTATCCACATCCCTCTTGAAGTGTGGCGCCCAAAACTGGACAGTACTCCAGTTGTGGTCTCACCAATGCCACATAGAGGGGAAGTATCACCTCCTTAGATCTGCTCATGGTGCACCTGCTAATGCATGACAGGGTGCGGTTAGCTTTACCTATCACTTCATCACACTGATGACTCATGTTCATCTTGCAGTTGACTATGCCTCCCAAGACCCCTTTCTGCTGCTGTGCTGCTTAAAAAGTCATTCCCCAGTCTGAGAGTGCATTGATTCTTTCTCCCTAGTGCTGTGCAGCACTTTGCACTTATCTTTGTCACACTGCATCCTATTCTGTTCTGCCCACTTTTTCAACCTGTCCAAATCCTCCTGAATCCATTCCCTGCCCCCCAGCCTGTTTACTTTGTCCTATAATTTGGTGTCACCCGCAAATTTGAACGGAGTGCTCTTCACGCCCTCATCCAAGTCACTAATGAAGATATTGAATAGCACTGGTCCAAGGACCAAACCTTGGGGCACTCCACTGCTCACATCTTTCTAGGTCAATACCAACTCATCCACCACCACTCTCTGGGTGTGTCCCATAAGCCTATTTGCCACCCATCTGACCATGTAATCATCTACAACACAGCCGCTTAGTTTATTTATAAGAATGGGATGAGACACCATATCAAAGGCCTTTTTGAAATCCAAGTAAATGACATCTACTTCAATTCCTTCATCTAAGCATTTGGTGACCTGATCATAAAAAGAAACAAAGTTAGTCAGGCAGGATCCAATTGCTATGAATCTGCTGGTTACCCTTCAGTATTATTTTTCCCCCTGGACTCCCACAAATGTGGTCCTTAATTTTTTCAAAGGTTTTCCTGAGGATAGAGGTGAGACTAACTGGCTTAGTTACACAGATCATCTTTTCTCTCCTTGAAAATAGGAACCACACATTGGCCCTTTTCCAGTCCTCTGGGACCTGTCCTGAGCACCATGAGTGCTCAATCATGCCAGTGGTTCAGCTATGACACAGGCCAATTTCTTCAGCACTCTTGGATGAAGATCATCTGGGCCTGCTGATCTGAACACATCCAGCCCCTCTAAGTGCCCCTTCACTAGGTCAGCGCTAACTGTTGGTGGTTTTATCCTGTATCTTTATAAGAAAAAGACAGTTTTGAAAAATTACTGTCATCTATGCAGCTGTCAAGGAAGACGTGATAATGAAGAAAATTTCCATCTTAATAAAAAGCCAACAGGATTACAGATAAATGTATTTTAATTAAGATTAAATATATTATTCCAAGGTATTTTGAAATCGCACTTGTACTGTACTAATCAACAGCCAGAGGCAATAAAAAAAGTTTGGAAACTGAAAAGTTCTAACATCCAACACGCGACAGTAATTGCTGCCATTTAAAGCGACAAACACCGCTCCCAAGAACAATTATTTTTAGACAAAAGTCATCTTAACATTTTTTTTTGTATGGACAAAATAATCTAAATCGAGGACTGGAAGAAATATATTAGTGCCTGCCTTTTAAAAGTCTTGTTTACATTTTAAATACAGTTTTTCTTAAAAGCAAGGTACTTTCTAACTCCATGGTTTATATACTGTATGTACATGAGCAGAACATTTTACAGGTCTTTTGGATAGAGCAGCACTAACTAGCTATTAGCTGGTATGGTGTTGCTGAACCAAATGCAAGACAGAGTACTTTAGGATAAGTTTCTCCATAGTTGGTATGAGAAAGTAAAAGGAATGGGTATGTACAAAAACTCCCCCACCAAATGCCAACATTCCCATGGCTATGAAACTGTACAAGCTGCAGCTAATTGATGGAAATCCTACTGCTAGAAGTGATTCAAAAGATCCAAAATTAATCAAAACAATATTCAGTAACAGAGTGCATTACACCTACAGAATGCACTTACACAAGTCAGTGTTGCACTATCTCTACTCTACCTCACCCTTTGGAAACAGGGCTCCATACAAAAAATGGATTGTTACTGCAAATACACACCAGATAGCCATCTGCATTTTTCTAAGCAAAATCTATGAAGAACCTTCAGTGGTACCTAAAACGTTATGCAGATTAAAGCTACCATATTTACTATCTGCAGGTGCATTCCCCTGCAAAACATAATTACATATGAGAATTGAAGCAGAGAGTTTGCACACAAATACTACCAGATTAAAATGAAAGCAGGTTGTTCCTGGCAGTGATTTCCGTAATTAGTGCAACATTAATCCATACAGTTTGCTAATGCAATTTAGGTTTAAAAAAAAAAAAAAAAATCAAACCCCTCCCCCCACAAAGCAGGACTTATAAGTTGTGCAGAAAACTGGTTTCAATGTGAAGTCTGCTTAACAGAACCACAACAGAAAACGAGGCAGGAACTAGGTTGGTTCCAAACCAGAATCCAATCGAGAAGTGAGACCCAGATTTAACCATGGGTAGAGAAGGAAGAAAATTTCTATTTGTCCCTAGAGAGTTACACATCTCATTGCTGACCACTGTCCGGATTAAGTCTTCAAGATCAGAAGACAGGCAAGAGGCTTCCCAGAAAAACATGACTTCACCATCTTATTGATTTGGGCTATGCAGCCCCACTGGAGACAACTGCTGTTCATTTTTACTTTATTCACTACATTCTTTTAAGCGATTGACCATAAGTTACCTCTTGCATGAAGACAGAAGCAAGACAACTGTTTCTAAACTGCATCCACTAAGGTTTCAAGTTTAATGGTGTAAAATTCTGACATTCAAATACAGTTTTGAGACTTGCTACAATGCAACTTGCTTTTTTTTTTTTTTTTGATCCTGCCTATTAAATGATGGGACCCTCAAAAAGAATTAAGTTATCCAAAGCAAACAGACTAGGTACCACCATACCAGCCACCACCCAAATGCACGTGTATGTAACAGTTGAGAGGTTTTACCAATGCAGTGTGTGGGGCCTATCTGAGCACTGGAACCAACATTTTCAATGATTAACCCCTCGATGCCAGAAAGGGCTGGGTCATCCTATGTTAAGCCCTAATGCAATATGCATTAGTGTCATGCAACAGGAAGATCCCAGCTTCTAATGTTTAAAGTTCACATAAACCGTATAGATACAGTTGGGGTAAAAACAGACTCAAAAGATCCGACTGAAGAAAATTCCAAATAAAATGACATCTTCTGCACAGCCCCAGCCTCTGACACTGCAACATCTTTATCTAGTGTAATAGACTCTGTAGTAAACTGTTTTTGACCTCCATAATGAATAGGAGTTGTCAAATTTAAGGAGATAGACTCCTCTCCCTGGGTACTGGTGGCTGCCAGCATAGACTTCTTCATGACAGTCTCGTCTGTACACAGGCACAATTTCATCTAGTTGAGGCTTGTTGGCGTTCTTTTTGGCTTTTTCTTCATTGCTAGCATTTTCTGTAAGGAAAAAAAATAATAGCAGTCATTAAGTGAGGACAATATTTTGCAAGTAAAATAAAAATAAAATCTAATTTTGATGAGTCAATTTTCTCAAGTTTATCAGGGACCACACATATGCAAATTTACTCCTTTAACCAAAAAAGAAGAATTTGGTGGGAGGAGAAGGGGGTTTGAAATTGTTTGACTACACATTCAGGGTAAGGATTTGAGGACAGATTATAATTTTGTTATACTCTGCTACAGTTAGCCAGTCAGCATGGGACAGCTACAATGTCCCTCACTAAGCAACCTCTTAAGTATTCTGATCAAGTGCTGTAACTACTTGCCATGTGGGCAGTCATTAATAAGTACTGTAATATTGCTATTTAATATATAGTTAGCATTGTTAGAGTTTTAGAACATTCTCTGCCTTTATAGTTAAAAAAGGCATTTTAACTGAATTACAGATGCAGTCAATCAAATTGCAACGGATTTCTAAGAGGAAGCAACAGAAAATTGTTTTTTCTATCCTCAGGCATTTTATCCATTTTAAGGAAAAGTAGCAAATGGTAATTGATGTTATAAGAAGGGTAAATGCACCACAGTTCAATCCAAACATTCTTCAATCATACACTCTGATTATAGTTGTAGTGTTTTGATGTTAGACACTCGTGCATTTATGGCCTCATCTTCAAATGTGTTGAAAACCTACAGCTCCCATTAAACTCAGCTGACCGCTGAACGGATAGTAAAAGCAGATCAGCTAGTTGAACTATGGTCATAAGCTGTATAACAGCTGGTGTTAAAGTGGGGTGGCTTAACCTAAAGACTCAACTACGTGACTAAATGTCCCTTTGCCTCATTCCGTAGTAAACAATGTAGGTCACAATTTCCTTCCCCAGGCAAAAGATCTGCACCTCAGAGTGAATCCTGGTCTATACTTTTACACTGAACTGCATACACAGAGCTGGCTTAGCAATTTAGTGGACCAGAAGATGTATGCCTGGGTAAAAAGCTTATGATGACATGCCAGATTCCCCTGTAGCTGAGAAAATGGAGTCGAGGCCAAGCCTTTGGTTAGAATACTTGATGCAACGTGGTGGTCAGGAAGAGAAGGAAATGCTGAGGGGTTCTGGAGGCCCTTGGCAGACATTACATGTATTTCTCAAAATGCATTAATTGCACGATAAACTACCATATGCCACATGTGCAAGAATTTTATGATGAAATAAAATGGCAAAAAGGCACCAGAGATGTTCAACATTAAATGTGTAACATCTTTGTGGCTAGTTTACAACTGCATTTAACTTTGAACATGTGGCATGTAACATGCAAGTGTCCCTTGTGCCCAGATTACATGGGCACACCTGTATAGATCCAAACTGCTGAAACCAGTTCTCCCTTTGTCAGGCTGCACAGTGCACTTTTACAGGTCTGGGTGCCAGCAAAATGAAAGGGCACCATGGGAAGCAGAGCATCAGGAACCAGTCCCCTGTGTAGGACTCTCCACAAGCCAGCAGTTGCACATACTGGGACCTGAGGAATTTTATCCCAGATACCAAAAATTGTATATTATGCCATGCACATTTGGCATGCGAGAATGTGCATTTTTTGCAGATGCAAGATAAAACCCCTCAAATTGCAGTCGAATGTTTAAATTAACATCTGCCAGCAGCCAGAACACAGAGGAATTTCTTGCCTGGAAAGCTTATCAAAAGTGCCAGATTTAGGCTTGTTCAGGAAGTACCAACCATACACAGACCCCTTCATCCCTAGATCATTGATTTCAATTAATCCTATAGAAGAACGTAAGGAAAGTGGAGGTCCTGTTCCTGAAGTCTTTTGCATTGGGACACAGCACCAGCAGATAGACAACCACTAAGTCAAAAGCAGGACAATGGAACAGACAATCTTGGAAGCTAATTCCGTGCATTGTCTGAAACTGGCCTTGGGTAGGCAGAGGACCTAAAACAGCTTTGAGTCCAATTCAAAATGGACTAAATTGTTTTTAGAGGGTTACCAGCTGGACAGCTGCTATGCACAGTACAGCAAACTTCTGTGGGCTACCACCTGGGAGGTTAGGCATGAGAGACTATAATACATTCTTAGTTGGCTAAGCTCTTGCATCAACATGAGGGTACATAAAATAAAGCAAGTGTACCTTCATCTTCATCCTCATCGTCACTGGATTCACTGACATGCACGCTGACTGCAGTGTTAGGGGAGTCTGTCCATTCAAAATATACCCCAAAACCAATGTCATAATTGTCTGTAGCAAATTCCCAGAAGAGATATGATCCCTCTTCATGAGTGGGGACTCTAACGGTAACCACTTCTCCTCGCCCGACAGTGATCACAGAGTCTGCATCCTGTCGGATCTTCTCCTTGAAGTCTTTTATTTGGGGCCGCGTCCACATGGATGGAGCTGCTATCACTGGAACAGATTCTGAAAAAAGAGGAAGGCAGTTGGGAGGTGAGGAGATGGAAGTTAAACAATTTACCCAAGAAGATATAGATATTTTAATATCATTTAATATGCCACTCTAATAAAACAGTGCCCCATATAGTTCAGACAGAACAAGACTGACTACTTCCAAATTAGATCATTCATACAACAAAGCAAAGCTCTCATAACAGAGGTTTGACAAACTCCCATGAAACTCACTTTACAAAAACCACTATTCAGACCCATTCACCTAGCTGAGAGATTTTTCCTTATTTTGCATACCTAGGCTGCCTGACAAGGGGTTGGGTTTTTTTAAATGCATAAACACATTTACTCAAGACCAAGTAGGAAAGCGAGTTCTTTTCAAGACATCAGTTCGGTACACTATAATATGGCATAAATCAAAGGAAAGGACTGATGCAGGGGCTGATTCTGTGACACCTACTCAAGATTACTTAAACCCATTAAAACAAATCCTTGAAACGTAGCTCCTAAATACATGGCAGGGTATACTGACAGCTAGTCACTAGAACTGTTTCCCACAAGGGACTGCAAACATTCCTTTTGTTTTTTGCTAACAGTTTTCAAGAATTTGAGCAGGGTAGAATAGGAGTCAGCTTCTGAACACAGCTCATACACAGGCAAGACCAGAAAGAGAACTGGCCTCATCCTACCTGGTCTCTTATGCACTGTTATAAGGCTATAAACTTTAGTCCAAGAGGAGAGGCTGAGGCTCTAGATCCATCCAACCCTCCTCGCATTTTAGGTACATTAGCTGCTGAACACAGGTCTTGTTCCCTTAAGAGCTGACAGTCTAGTCTCGACAACCAGGTCCTCTTGCCTTAGGAGAGGAAGAGACCGAGCCCAGGAATTAACTGGAACACTTGCATGGCAAGCAAAGTGTAGTTACCAGAAAGCCACAGCCAAGACAGACGCATGATTCTCATGAAAGCTTTTGTGCTCTTGGTAGCTTTAAAAAAGAATAGTTGCACTTGTACCTTTTGGTCCATTCTCCAGTGCTTCTTCCAAACCATCTGCATCGAGCTCTTTTTCAGGGCTGTCCGTATGTGCATTGGCTTGTCCATTAACAGATGGGACTTCCCCAGGGGCAGCTGCATTCACCTTTGACATGGTACTGATAGAAGCCCCTGTTGCTGCTGCAGCTACTGCTGCCTCCTGCTGTTTCTGCAAGGCTGCCTACAATTAGAAACATTCAGTCAAGTAAAAGCAAGGAAGAAAAAAAGTCTTTGAGAGTTCTGTCCCTTTCCCATGACAGCAGCTCTCAAGAGAAAAACTTCTAAGAATTTAGGCCAACTTTTTTCTCCAACCTGGGAGCTTACATCTAACTGCAGCAATGTTTCATGCTTCAACTAACTGCTATAGTAATTCTGCTCATGAAAAAGCCTTAGCTGATACTTGCTTTGAAAAGCTTTATACCCACCAGTGACGCATTAATGGACTTATTAGCTTTCTGGAATGCGTCCAGCCGGAAATTTAGTCATGACTTTAGAAGTCAGAAGTACTTGAGGACAGCATTAAATCCCCTGCCAGTTTGTGGGTTTACAATATCTTCTTTAAAGAGCAATTCTTTCAAGTTTGTCTGAAGCTTAGAAGCCAGAGAAGAACAGCAGTAGGGAGCAGCTTTAGAAAATAAGCTATGGGTCAAGGTGCAAGGCCTAGGCAGTGGATTCACTGCAAGCAGAATAAGGCCTGCATACTTCTATCATCATCACAAGCCTTATTGGGATGGGACTGGCACAGATTTGTGCTGGTTCTCTGCAAAGATTTGGTCCCTCCGACAAAAGGAAAAACACCGTCATGCCATCAGAGGCTCTTTGAGCTTATTACAATTACTGTTAGCCAGTGGGGAATCAACTCAATAGGTCAGTCCTGAAAAGTTTTGGGAAGTTAATGAATCAGACTGGATGGGGAGATCATAAGCATAACAAACATCAAGAGAACAGCTATATTAGCCTCTGCTCATAAAGACCGGTATTGTTAGAAATGCTTAGGATTTGATTAACTCCTAGATGACTCACTGAATGAGAATTACTTATTGCAATAAACTTTTTACTCTTCCAGAAATTCTGCATTATAAAATAAAAGTTACACATCTCAAACTCAAAACTACCGTACCAGTGCTATGCAGATGCATCATCCATATATAACATGACCCTATGATCCTAACATGACAGCATAGAGGGCATTAAAAAGAAGCAGTCAACCAGTGCTCAGCTCAGAGTCCAACTGATAGGCCTCCAAAGCAGGAGGTCACAAAATAAACACACATACACAGCACCACATCTGGAATTCCAGTTACTGTACAGGTAAGTAGCTTCTCTCCTGCAAGCAACTGTTCATGCATGTATTGTATGAGAACATTTTTAAGTAGAAGGTGGCAGGATTTTCCATTTTAAGAGAATCCAGAGTTCAGCCTTTTCAAAAGCAGCACCTTAGCTAGAAACTGCTGTCTGTCTGTCAGTTCCAGCAATATACCATCTCCTGGGAACAGAGGTGCACAGGACAGGTAGAACTGTCCTGCACACCTTTGCTGCTGGGATGGTGTGGGTAAGGCCAGACTGGGAAGGGCTCTAGCATAATGTAGCTCTTCTGCCTACTTGAAAGTTAGCGAAACATACATGCTGAAGCCCTGCATTCGTGGCAGTTTTACTTGGCTGCTACCACCATGATGGTGGCTCCTGTGTCACTGCACCTGTAGATGAAGGGCTTTGCAGCATCCTGGTTGAGAACCACTGCTCTATGAACTAACAGTCCATAATGAGATAGGCCCCTGTAGAAGGATTTTGGGGGAGGAGGGCATGGAGCAGTCAGCATAACATGGAATTGAACAGAAAATCCTGGTGGAATTATTTCTATCACCATGAATTCCTACTTAAACCCTGGAAATCCACACATGCTTGAAAGAACCTCAGGCACTCTTTCCAAGATGAGGGGCTGTGAAGAGGTGTAGATCTTTGGAAATGGGTTAATCTGTCTTTATTACATAACGCTTCAAAAATGAAACTTTAGGGATGAATGACCAACAAAGGTAGCTTTTAGCAATTTGAGGACGCAGTGCCTCTTTAAGAGGTTCCAATGAGAGAGGACAAAAGAAAAAAGTATTGACACTGATGCATGTTATGGACTAACCTCACCATTAATATTCTTCTTTTTAGAGACAGTCTCTTCTACAAAAAGAGTGGTTGGCTGGCCCTAGCTCTTCCAGGGCTTGTTGTGGGGAATGAGTGTACTCAGGGTATACTTGGCTGCAAAGATCTCACTGGCCAAAAGACTAAGGTCTTTAGCACATGCTAAAAGATATGCAAAAAGAAATGTGTACACAGGGAAGAGTGCATAAATTTTATTACTTGTGTCCACTAAGTCCAGATGTCACTGCTGTGGGCACATGTAGGGTGGCACTATTCCCTTCCTGGTCATTTGTGTGCTCAGTTTTGGTCAGATGACCAAAAATGCCATGTAGATAAGTGCCACTTACACACCATTACAAATTCTATTCCTGGATGCAGACTGGACACATACGTAGTTGTCTATGTGCACAGACTAGGCATGTATGCCACAACAAAATGGAGGAGGGTCTTCCTGTCTTTTGTCCAACAGCTGAGTAAAGATACTAGCATGGGAAGCCAGAGGACTGGGTTCTAGACCAATATCCTCTAGAGGGGGTTTGAACTTGAACCTCATTTCCCACACTAACCCACCATGCCATAGACAGACATTATCCAGTCCCTTTCCCAGTGCTCCTTTTGAAGCCAAGTCCCTGCCCCTCAACTATGTTAGTCACTGGAAACAAACAAACAACAAACGGAAAGCAAGGACCCAGGTTTTAAAACCCTGAGCCCCTTCCCTTTCAAGCTAGCAGCCACCTCAGTGGGCCACATACCATCTGTCTTGCTCTCTTCCTTGTGGCCCCACATCTCACTTTCACAACTGCCCAGGAAGCCGGCTTCAAAAAGGGGAAGGAGAAGGAACTGAATAATGCCTGACCTGTAGTGTGGTGGTTAGAGCAAGGTTCTGGGAAGTGAGAGACCTAGGGTTAAATCCCTTCTGGGTGAGGCAGGGAAAAGAGAAGGAGGAGGGGACAGAACCCAGGTCCTCCAGCTTCCCAGGCAAGTGCCATCCTAGCTGCTCAGCTGTTCAGGTCAAAAGACAAGAAAGTCTCTCTCCCTCTGTCCCCAAGTCTCAGCCCTCCTAGTCATCGGTGTTGGTTAACTACCTTTCTCGGCCTTTGACACTACCATGAGTCCACAAGGGGTTCATGTACATGGCCTGGCTATGTACGTGTCTACTGCGTAGCTTCCTGCGCATACCCAGTCTGTGCATGAATGTAGCTATCCACATGCACTGTAGCCAGGAATAGAATTCCTTCCTGTGTGTGAGTGGCAAGTTTGACATTTAGGCTAACAAAGATACCACATGAACTATTACAATGGATGACCTAGAAAACAAGGAATTGAAAAGAATGCCACCCTTCATTACTGATATACATGCATTAATTTTTGTGGAGTGCTTCACCTGTGACCACCAAGAATCTGAACTAGAAGCAGAACAATTAGTGGAGTCCTCTTAGAGGAATAAAGTTTAAACTGTTTAGATTAGTCTTAAATCGACAGCTGCCTTAAAAGGTAATGGAAGCAATTAGGGGGAAACAAAAAACAAAAAGAAAACCAAGAACAAAACTTGCTTGGGGGACTGTCACTACCTTGGCTTTAAGCGCTGCATTAACCTTTGAGAGAGAGAGATTTTAAAAAAAGTCCTTTTATTTTTTGTCAAGGGATAACACCAGATGCTTTTGCAGTTCTGGACACAGCCCAGGACAGGGAATACCAGAAGCCACAGACCCTGTGCTTCTCAGCTAATCTACTGTACCTGCTGCTGTGCAAGCTGGACTTGATACAGTTGCTGCATGTACTGTTGATAGTGTTGTTCTTGGAGCTGACGAATTAGGATCTGCTGCTGTTCGTAGTTGCCCGGATACTGCTGGGCTGCGTACTGCTGGAACTGAACAGCGGTTTGGGAGTTCAGCGCTGCCATTATCTGTTGCCTAGATTGTCAGGAGTAGAATGTGATCATTACAATTGGCAGAGGAAATCAGAGAGATCACTATATCTAACTGCCCTCTGGTACAGTGAACTGAATTCTTGTGCAAACTAACATAGGGTCTATATAATGGAACAAAGTCTAGGGATGTTGCAAGTGAGTTCTCTCATATTTCAAATGCACCAGCTGAAAGCATAAACAAAGAAGCCAACTTATTTTCTACTTGGTCCTTGAAAACCTGAAGTATCAAATCAAGGGCTCTGTAAGGCACATCCCGTACCACCATCTGCAGTCTGAGGGTAGAAACAGATGTCACATTTGTGCTGCCACTGAAAATGTTATGGTGGCACAAATAGTGAGCAAACAGACATTGCTACCTTTTCTCATGGCACATCAGCAGAAAGGCAAAAAGGTAGCAATGAGTTCTGTCACTTGACTACAGCAGATGTCTATTAGCTGTGACGGGAGTGTGGAGCACATGCTCTAACCACCATGGACAGGTGCTCTAAGAACCTGAGGGCCCCCCTCGAGGCCCTGGAGCACTTACCTGGCTTTCCCACACTTGGAGAACTACCCCAGGGAAATTCAGGGTGCCACCAGGAAACACTTTTGCAGGTCCCAGTGTGGAGGCATGGGACCTGGGGAATCCCTGGTGCCCTACAACTCCATGTCAGGACCCACTTACCCAAACCTGCCCCTGGAATTTCTGGTGACCCACCTGGGTAAGCAGGAAAAGCAAAGCTTACCCTTTTATTCAGGCCCATCTCCAGGGCTGCATAAGCAGGAAATGCCCCACTTTCCCCAGACCCACCCCTATAGATCCCAAAGGAGGCAGGTATAACCAGGCAGGTGCTCTCAGGGCTTGAAGAGCCCAGCCCTGCCTAGGAATTCCCAGTGTTCAGATGACCAGACCCCTCAAACCCTGAGAGAGCACATCACCCCTTGTCCTGCATCATCAGCAGGTGGGACAAAGGGCGATATGCAGTTTGCCCAATGAAGCATCTTGGCACAGCTGATCCGCTTCATTTGGCAACATCTGTTTCTAAACTGAGAAGCTAGAAAGGAAGCACTAGAAACACATATAATTTAATTCCTTGGTCTGAGGCAAAAAAAGGCATTTGGGGTGTTCAGGTATGCCTTCTGTGTTGGAGGGGCTTGGAGTGCTGAAGCAGGCCTGTTCACAACAGCCAAGGCTGAGCTTTATACTTAGGGAGAACATCTTATAAAATTAGATCTACCTTAGTTTCCCTAGACAATGCATGAACCATGTTCCCATTCAAGGGAAGACTTTAGAATGCTGTCAAACAGGCAGTTTGCTTGATATGCTAACAGACGCAATATGTTAATGCTTCAGAGTTAAATATATGGATGAGTTCCAAATACACTTTCTACTTCCTTTCTGCCAGAAAGGGCAAAAGCAGGAACAAAGACTGAATCAGGTACTGGACAAAACATGCCTTGCATTCCAGTACCAGCTTGTGTTAACTAGAACTCTCTTATACACTGCAGACGTAACAAATGGATCCATGTTTTTAGCATTCTGGAAGTGCTTATCATTGTGTGTGTGATGATTTACACATCCAACCTGTGTTTTGTAGGAGTTTTTGTTTAAGTGGTAACGCCAAGCATCACTACCTTTGACTAATTTTTAGTAGGGAGTGCATAAAGTTCAGGCTCTTAAGTAGTTTGATTTCTAGAGGTACTTTAGCCTAAGTTGTGGGAGCTCAGTAGCAAGTGGGAACTGAAAAACACACTATACCTTGGAAAAAATCCAAAAATCAGCGATATAATTTTGGAAATCAAGTCTGAAAGTTCTTTTCCCTAGGTGGACAGAACTGAAGCACAGTAATGTATACTGAACCCCTAGGGGGAAAAAAAAAGTACTAATCTCAGTTCAGATAGGCCTTTCAGAATCACAGTTTAAATAACCTTTTCATGGATACACTCAAAATTTGCTCAACAGAGGGTTGCATTAGCAACTTGCCAGGAACAGAAGCTGCAAAATGTGCGTTAAGTACAGCTCATTAAAAAACATCCCTACAGATTCCAGACTGAAGGCTGCGCCTTAAGACAACTGCACATCAAGTCAACTCCAAATACACTGAATACTGGGATATGTAGCCTTTGCAGACAGCACCCCTATAAAGCTGGGCATCTAGAAATGGCATTGTAAAATTCTTTAGGTCATACTTTACTTGCAGTTTGAATGCCTGTGCCCAACGCTTTTGTCTTCCCATAATGCTAAAGCTGTTCTGGAGCAGACTGAAAAGGCAACTTTTTCCGAGTACAGGTAGCTGTTCTCTTAATAATCTTACCAGCTATATACCAACTACTCACTTCTGCTGTTCCATCCGGAGCCTCTCTTCCTCTATCCGCCTCCGCTCCTCTTCTTCCTGTCTCAACCTTTCTTCCTCCTCTTTCCTGCGTCTCTCTTCTTCCTTTTGTAAGCGCTCTCGCTCTTCCTCTTCACGGCGCCTTCGTTCCTCCTCTTCTCTCCTGTTTCATCCATTCAGTAAGACATTTCAGCATCTTTACAATCTTAGAGCAAGTTACTTGTACCATTATATATTCTGGTTCAGGTCAAAAGTTAGAGCTGCACAGATATATTTCCTTGCAGTGAGCACATGATAAGAGCTCTCTTTGATTTGTGATACGTTTCAGTATTTAGTTTACACCTTCCATCCCAACATTTTTCAGCTGCATTAAAAACGAAGAGTAGAGCGTCAACAAGATTTTGGGTTTTGCTGAACTATGATTTACAAAGCGTGAACTTAGAATTCTAACTTGAGAACCACTTTCTAATAGTTTCTGGCAACAGGTAATGTGGGGGGGGAGAGGGGGGAGGGGAGAAGAACTGCACAACCCTAAAATGTCTTGG